CTCACCGCGCCCCGCCCCTCAGGTACGGGAAGCCGCTGGTGTTCGACCTGCGCGAGGTGGACCTGTTTCCCGCGGTGCAGCGGCAGCTGGAGGCGGTGCAGCCAGGCCTGGCGGAGGAGCTGCTGAGCCGCCGGCTGCTGGACGGGGACAGGTACCAGTCGCTGCTGCGGCCCAACGACGGGCCCGAGTACGGCCCCACCCAGTTCCAGGAGGCGCGCCTGGGGCAATTCCGCCTCTTCTTCGTCACCAAGGTTCAGTGGCCCCCCGCCGAGCAGCTGCGGATCCTGCTCCCAGTGCGGGTACAGCTGCCTCGCGGAGGCCTTTAAAGACCCGCCTCAATAAAGCAAAGTGCGCCGCGGGGCGCTGGGCCTAGCACCGTGCCGCGTCCCTGCCGTGTGCGCGCCCTGCAGGGCGGCGGGGCCGGGGACTGTGTACCTCCGCGGCCAGGGGAACCCCAGCTGGAGGGCAGTTTTGGGAACTTGGGGTGGTCCCCGCCCCGGAGGGGCAGGAGGGGGCGGCGTCTGTGTGCGCGTGGGAGGATATACAGACGGACGGAAGGTAAAACGTAGTCAATTTTATTCTCCTTAAACCACAAAATAGAGTCTTTGGTTGTACAAACGTCACTAGTTACAGTCTTGCCAAGGGGTCCCGGCTGGGGAGGGGGCAGTTAGTCAGCGACCAGAACTCCTGAGGGATCTCTTTAAAATACTAACACCCAGGTTAAAAGACTGGGGGCGAGGGTGGTGTTGGGGCTGGCAGGGCCCCGCCCCCAGTCGGGGGAGGCACCGACCCTCTAGGAGGGCACGGGGCCCAGGCCACGACGCCCTGGCCGCATTGGGCGGCGGCTGCTGCACAGGGTCACCTCCTCTGGGCCCATGGCGTCTGGCGATGGCCTGCCCAGAAGCACCATGGCTACCTCTCCATCTTCCTCCTGCAGGCCTGGCAGGCAGAGGCAGGAGAGAGAGAGAGGTAATGGGGGCCCCAGGCACCCCAGGCGCAATCCCCTGGTCTGGCCCGGGTAACTCACCAGGGCTAGGAGGTGGCTCCGAGGACCTCGGCTCCTCAGCAAAGTCCGGGGACTGTCACGGGGAGAAGAGCTAGGTCAGGGCCCCGCCCCAGACTGCTAAGACCACCCACGTGAGCCTGGGTGGGGAGGCCCCATGCCCGAGGAACGGCGCTGGCCCCAGAAAGACAAGGCAGGGGCTGGAGGGGGGACAGGCGGGGGGACAGGCAGGGAGATAGGCACAGCCGGGCGGGGCGGCCCGGCCCACACAGGCCGGGAGGGCCCGGTACCTGCATGTCATAGACAGGCCGGGAAGAAGGGAGGGCTGCGAACACCCTGTAGTCGAACCTCCTCCCAGACAAGGCCTTGAGAGGACAGCGTGAGGGGAGAGAGGCGAGAGCTGAGGAGAAGAGTGGGGGGTGCAGTCTGGACCCCGCCCCGCCCCGCAGGGAGGGGCGCGGGGAAGGGCCACAGCTGGTCCTCACCAGGCGTCCGGGGGAGGTGCTGGTCTGGGGGCCGATGTCTGGGGGGACGAGAAGTGGACATTGGGAGAAGTCTCAGCTGCAGGCTGAGCCCCCCACTCCCTGCCTGCCCTCCGCCACACACGGACCTTCCAAAGGGGTGGGTGACGGGGTGGGCGCCGGCGAAGGGGCCTCCGCCAGCCGCTCCAGAGGCCCACGCTTGCTCCGGCCCTCCTGGGACTTGCTGAGGACCATCTGGGCGCGGAGGGCGTCCTGCTCCAGAGACTTCATCCTGCAAAGGCGCGGCAGGTGGGGCTGGGGGAGACGGCAGGAGCAGGGGGCGGGGCGCCAGTGGCTGGTGGGCGGGCGCTAGGACCTTACCTGGCCGCCCTCCACAGCGCCCGTTTCTCCGCCTCCAGGGCACGGCGCTCGGCAGGGGACAGGGCTCGCTCCGGCACAGGCACAGGCAGCTCGGGGCTCTGCACGCGTAGCCGCTCCTGATGGCGCCGCTCGGCTTTAGCGGTCCGGACCGGCGCGCTGTTTCCCAGGGGCGGAGGCGACGCGGGGCCTAGCCTGGGCCAGGGGATAGGACAGGAGGGCCAGTCGGGCGGGGCGTCAGCGGAAGGGGCGTGCCTGGGAGACCAGGTGCCGACCCCTGACCCGCCTTACCCCATGGCAGGGCTCGGGCCGGCCCAGGGCGGCTCTTCCTCTCGCTCCTCGTTTTCGGGCGCCTCCCCATCCAGGGCAAGCCCCGCGTCCGCAGCCTCCCGCAGCATTTGCGCCCTCTTCTGTTGCAGCTTTCGGGCTGGGGGCGTGGGACGGGGCACACAGGTCAGGCCGAGAGCCCGGCCTCTCCCTGCCCACCGTCCACCTACCTGTCTGCCTGCCTGCTCACCTTCCTCTTCCTGCATCTTTCGTAGGTCGTCAGCACCCACCAGTGATACGCGTTTGGGGGGGCCCTCAGCCTGGGGTACCCGCACCTCCAACTCAAAGTACTTCTGCCGCTCACGGAAGGACAGCTGTTCTGGGGACGCGGTGGGCCCGGGCGTGGGAGGCTGCGGGCAGCGAGATCTGAGACCTGGTGGGGCCCCCCCGTCCCGCACCAGGCCCTCTCCCAAGGGGCACACCCTGCGGGTGCATGCAGCAGGGGAATGGCAGCCACCACGCACCTGGGCAGTTGTGTCCTGGGGCGGGTGGAGGCCGGGCACAGCAGCAAAGGTCCTGTAGGCCCACTTCACATCGGAGGGCAGCTCATCAGGGGAGGGCGGGGAGCGGGGCTGGGGGACAGGGCTCTCCTGAGTGGTGCTAGGACAGCTGCAGGGCTGCAGCCACCACCCACCCCACAGCTGTTCCCGCCCACCACCTCCACCCCCCATACCCTGCGGGCCAGGGCACTCACAGAGCAGGGATCGTCTCTGCCCCTGGGGGCCGGGGAGCCCCTTGGCCAGGCCTGAGCCAGTGGCTGGATCACCCCGGGTTTTGTCTGCAAAGGGCAGGAGCCAGGGCCAAGGGAAGGGATCAGGGGTTCAGGTCAAGGGTGGGGGCGATGGTGGGGAAAGACAGAGAAAGAGATGGAACAAAGGTGGGCGGCAGAGTGGGTGCCCAGAATGTGGGGCCGGCACTCAGAAGGGAGAGGCCAGGAGGCAGGCTCCGCATGGGCACTGTGGGGGGCTGGGGGAGGGGCTTGCAGACAAGAGGACTGGCGGGGTGAGGCAGCCAGGTGCCAGGGGAAGAGGCACTGCCCACCCAGCCTGCTCAGGCCACGGGAGCCACAGGGAGCTCCCACCTCTACTGCCAGTTACCCCCAGGCCGTCCCCTTAGAGTGAGGAGTGGCACCTGAGAGAAAGCATTGCACACAAGCACCCTCCGCACTCACTGCCCTGTACCCCCGCCTGGTGGGCACTCACCTGTTGGTAGCCCGGGGAGCAAGGGGCCTCAGCCATCTTTCCTCCAGCTGTGCTGGCCGGTATCTGGGGAGCCAGGTGGTGGGTGGCTGAGAGCTGGGCGGGGCTGGGGCCCAACGAGGGGGAGTTGGGGGTGGGGTGCTTGCCTTGGTGGCACAGACTGGTCCTTAGCTCCCTGACCTGACTGCAGCCCGAGGGTCATCCCCAGATGGGCCCGGACTACTGCTTGGCCAGCACCAAGGGATTCTTCCCAGAATGCTGTGGCCTGGCATCCAGCAGGCTCTCTCCTCCCCAACGCACGGGGGCACAAGAGGGAGGACTGGAGTGTGTGGCCCCTGGCCCTGTCCCCGCATCTGTCTGTGGCAGTGGGCAGTCTGGAGCTCCACGGGAGAGGGGACAGACAACCAAGATGAGACTGGACAGAGTAGGGACAAGTGGGGGGGTGGGCTCCTAGAGCCCCAGGCTGAGGCCCAGTGCACTTTCCTGTCGCCTACCCCTCCCCACGAGGCTCAAAGGGGTACAGCCAGGGAGGACCCTCTGTCCCCCCAGCCGCCCCATAGCAGTGCTCCTTTTGGTGAGAGGACAGCCCCTCACCCCACCTGGGGGCTTCCTGCTCAGACCACAGCTCCTGGAAGGCTCCCTTGGCCCTTCACCACCTCCCTGCCCTGGCCAGGCCCTCACCCGGCACAGCCCCCTGCTCAGAAGTGGCAGCACCTCCTGGCGCCCCACTGCCCACCACTCACGCTCCTGCGGTCTCGCTGTGGCGGCCTGCGGAGTTCAGCCTCCGGGAGGTTATTTATACCTCTTGAGGGAGGGACGAGGACTGTGTCCGTCCCCGCCCAGCTGTCAGCACTGGGCTTCTGCCCCCACCCCTCGTCTCCGTGGCTCCTCGCAGCTGCTCTAGGCTTGTGCACCATCCCACAAGGATGCCGAGCACTCTGGTGGCCTCCAGGTACCTCTGCCACCCCTTGCCTCTGGGACCCCCTCACCCAGCCTACTCCGTGAGTCCAAGGTCAAGAGATGGGAGGGGGCCAGGGCCAGGGGCCTTCTCGGGAAGCAGCCCCACCTGCCTTACGGCTTGCGTCAAGGATCAAGGGGACAAGACCCGTGCCAGGTGGCGGGGAGGAGCCCCAGTTTGGGCCCCTAGCCTGTCTGTCCCCCAGGCCAGGCTCGGCCTCCTCCAATGCCCTTACCCCAGTGAGGGCCCTCCATGGCAGTCTCAGCCCTTACCCTGGGGGCAGGACCCCTGCGTGCCCACCCAGCAGCTCTGTCCTGTGGGGGCTCAGGTGAACGGAGGGACTCACCGCGGCCTCCGGGCCCCACGATGCACTCTGTGCCGGCAGCTCCTTCTCCTGTGAGCAGAACAGACAGCGGTCAGCGACCCACGGCCTCAGGCTCCCTGGCCCTGGGGGGCTGCTGGCCCCGTTGCTTCTGACCTTGCCAGGGCCCTCGGGGCTCAGCTCCCGGTCAATGGAGGAGATGCTTTCCAGGCTGTTCCGGCGGCCGATGCCTGCCGCAAAGGGGTTGGCAATGACGCCCGGGGACACCTGAGGAGGACAGCGAGCTAAAGGCGGGGCTCTCAACTGGAGGCCCCACTCCCAGGCCCACTGGCCTAGGACCCGCCAGAAGCCGCAGGGCTGAGGTGCTGGGCCATGTTGCTGGGGCGGGGCGATCCCGCACTCACTTTGGAGCAAGGAGCAGACAAACCAAGCCCGAGGGCAGTGAGCCGCGAGGTGCCTGGTGACACAGGGTGCTGCCCACAGATCCGCAGGCCATCCCTGGAATCTGCAAGGCGGGCGAGCGCCCAGCAATGGTCCTGAAGCAAAGGGCGACTGAGAGAGTCAGGCCCACGGGCTCTGAGCCGAAAAGCGCTCGGCCATTTAAGCTGAGAAGTGGCGGCCGAGTCAGGGGACCCCTGCAACTGGCATCCGGAGGGCAAGAGCCTGGGGCCTGGGGGTGGGGTCAGCGGTCTGGGGCCTGGCTGCCAGATGAGCTTTGGTCATGAGCTCTGAGGGGCAACCTGGCTCACTTCCCACCCCACGAGGGACGAAAGGGGCCATTCGGCTGCAACCAGAGGAGAGGGGGTGGCAGGGTGACAGGCATGGAAGACCCTCAACAAGAACGGGGCCCGTACTAACGAGGGTCGCCATCAGTGTGGGCTGAAACGCACCCCAGCTATGGCCATGGTTAGAAACCCCACGGGAATGATAACCAAAGGGCTGGGCAGAGACTCCAGCCACCCAGAAAGGAAGAGGCGACAGGGCGTCCGGCAGGCAGAGAGACACTGTCACAACAGAAGCTGCCATTCACGGGGCCAATACAGTGATCAGAAACAACAGGTGCCAAACAAGGAACCATACGCCGCAAAGACCATGGGAAACGTGGGAGCGTGACAGACACAGCTGCGGCGGAATAAATACACCTCCGAGACCCACACAGTGAGGAGGTTACACGACGAGACTCAGGTGCCCTCCTCCTCAACGTCCAGGGGCACCAGGTGAAAGCCACAGCGCCTGAGCGGCAGGCCTCAGACTAGGGGGACGGGGCCCACAGAGGGCCCCGGCGGACAGGCCACCTGCTGGCTCACGTCAGAGGCCACCCAAGCACGAGGGGCTGGCCTACAGTGGACTGGACTGCTGGTCGAGCGGCCGTGGCCGCAAGCCTCCAGTGACAGGGACAGTCGTGTGTACGTGCACACGCCTGCGTGCGTGACACCACGACACACCCAGGGCCTCAACATCACTTCTCACCAAAAGGAACCAGTGCTCCTTGGGAAAGGTGACCCGGGACTGGTGGTAACTGTGAGACGAGCCAGCACATCCGCTGTGCCGGAGAGGAAGGTGCTCAAAGGCCGTTGGGGGCGGGGGGGGGCGGGGCGGTGTCATGTGGAGGGCCAGGCCACCTGGAAGCCCAATGGCAGCCCATGAAACCCAGAGCGACCGTGACAGAACGTCCCCTGTGAGATAAGAGAGACCGGCGTGTGTGCGCCAAGGGCGCGGGGTCACGCAGCACCTCGGAGGAGGGGAGGCTCCTCAGCTTAGCGATGGGTGTGCAGGAGCGACGGGTGACAGCGCCATGTGGCACCCACCACGTGCTCAGGCCAGGCACCAATGGGGGCTGAGCTGGCGGGTGAAACTCTGATGAGGTATGGGCCATTCAGACACCCTCCAAGACCTCCCCACAGAACACTATTAATTCCACGGGGAAAAAAAAGTCACTTTGCAGTGGGGAAACATGGTGACACCAACGTGGAGACCGCAGGTAACGAGACAAACCGCTGCCCGGACGTCCTGGCAGGAGGCCCTGAGAAGACAGTGTTGCTTCTGTGATAATCCTGCCAAAAATGCATCCACAGGAACTTCAGCTGGGCCCGCGGCGAGGGGCACTCTGCACAGGGATGGCTGTGCTCACCACAACTGCAAGGTCAGAGTCGGGAGGAGGAGCCCCGAGCAGATGCTCGGTGTCCCGGGCGGCACCCTCTGCCACAAAGGTGACGCGCAGGGGGCCTGAGAGACGCTGTTTGTTTTTGCCCTTTTGCTCCAAGTCGAAAATTATTTTATGTATTTGGTTATGTTTCTCAAGGAGAAATTACAACAGGATAAACCAAGATTCATACAGATGGTGCCTATGGGCGCGGAAGACAAAGGTCAGACCCCCTCAAAGTGCTGTTCGAGGCTGACAGACCGTGGGAAGGTGAGCACTGGTAAGAAAATGACTTTTTAGTCATCCCTAAAAACTGAAAACAATACACCTAAGTATACGTCACGTTGGCAGCACAACAATACAAAGAACTATTTCAAATGACTTGAAAACACAGGAACCAAGTACGCAGCGCAGTCGGGCAAATAAATCCTAAGGACAAAGAAGTCTTAAACTGCTCTCTACGTTTTGTGATTAATAACATCGGTACTGAATTTTGAAATTATTTAGGAATCACGATAATAGCATTTAAAAACAATTTTCAGTGTGAGGAAGAGACACAAATAGAAAATCAAAGGTTAGTAAAAAACCCGTAACCTTAAATAGAAATTGAAAATAACAGTACACTTCAGTTTTTTTTCCCAAGAGGCTCCACTCCTCAGGCTCTATCTGCACAGAGGCCCAGGGGCCACCACCACCCAGGGGACGCGAGCACTCAGCCTGCTGGTCCTCTACGCGCTGGGCCCACCAGAAATGGCCGATTCCAGGGCTGTGACAGCAAACGTACAGACACCTGGTCACACTCGAGAACAAGGACACCGTGAACAACAGGCGTCACGCTGCGAGGACACAGGAGCCACGCTGCCCCATGCGGGGACAATGTGGGCACAGACACAACGGGACACACAGACCCACGTGGTCCTGACGACACTGAAACAAAAGCAGAAGACATCAGCCACTCTGGGAGGTCTCCGAGACACCGGCTTGCTATTTGGGAAATCGATAAACAAAAGAATCGAGTACTCGTGACGCCTTTCCTGTATGAAATCTTATTTTAGGATAAAAAAAAGTGGCTGATTAAGAAACTCTCTTCCTTACAGACAGACCTGTAGGAAAATCAGAAGCAATAGGCATGTCAGGAGTGACTAGTCTCTCTCCTTAGGGCATCAGCCGCAGGCACATGGAGAAAGAAGGCTTTCCTGCTCCAAGTCCCACACTGGCTCCCAGACGAGGCCAGCCAGTGCGACCAGGAGGGACAGGTGGAGAAAACCGGAACAAGAAGGAGCATGACCGCAGGAGAGAAGCAGCAGGAGGACGGTCTGCACCTTGCTGCAGGCACACCACAGTCAGTCTGGACGGGCAGGGTGCCCGGATGTGCCTGGGAGCGCAGTCCCGATGGAGGGCGGGCGGGCCTGTCCTCCAGTAACCCTGTGCAGTGGCCTCAGCTCTCATCTGTCGTATGGACCAGGAGACTGGGCCCCAGAGCAGCTGAGTCCCGGCCTGTGGCCCCGCAGCAGGTGTGAAGCAGGATACACAGCCGTGGGTCAAGGCCACCTGCTGCTCGGAGTGCTGGGGGAGACACGGCCAGCACACAGGTGACACCGAGACTTTGCAGTCTAAACGAAGCTAGGAGGACCATTGGCAGACCCCGATTCCCACAGGGGCCAGGCTGGTGGGCTGAGCTCAAGAATGGAGATGTCAGGGGTAGTGAGCACTAGCCCGTGCCCCGGAGCGCCCAGCAGCACGACAGTCCCATGGGACAAAGCCCAGAGGTGCTGGACAGTGGGCAGTGGCAGGACGGGGCCTAGCATGTAAGGTCCGCTCATCTTCACAGCACTGCACCTGCTGGAGCGAGCCTATGGGCCAGACGGCCACCTCACTCAGCACAGGTGCCTAGGACCCCGACGACCCCTCTAGTAACAATGCGCACAGGTTATAAACAGAAGCAGCCCCCCTCAATTAAACACGTTATACCAGAAACCACAGCAAACACTGAATTATAGATGAAACAGCCCGTTAAAGTCGCACAAGGCCACCAGGGGCCTGCAGAGGGGACAGGGAGACCGGCAACACTGCTTAGGCCTCAAGGCTTCTGCTAGGACATGAAACACAATCACTGACCAGAATCAACCAGAAAGTAAGAGCAATCTCTGAGTGTGTGGGGGTCTCACTCACAAGGTGACACTTCCGATGTCAAAGCTAGTCCCGAATCCCAGCCAGCTTTCCTTATGAAAGTTCACAGGTTCATTTCAAAGAAAAAACACATTAAACAGACTGAAACTTTTCAGGAGGAAAAAAATGGATGACCCAACCAACGAGGTATCAACACACACTGTAAAGTGAAAGGGCGTATGACAGAAATGAGTCACAGCTCAGCAGGACCACATCCGGCACAGCCGGGACACACCGACACCCGGGGGATGTGGATGGGACCCACAAGTTCCAGTGCGGAATGGCGACAACCAGCTCAGACTGCTGGGACGGCATACCCATGTGCTTGAAAAGCAAGGCCAGTGAGTCCCAGAGTCGTTTTTAAGGACTGCGTAAGGACTAGAAGGAAACAGGACAGTGCTTTCATGATCTTGTCCTGGAGTAGGTTGTTTCAAGTAGAAACCCAAATGAAAAATCAAAATAAAAGTGTCAATATTTAACTCATAAAAGACTTACATTCCTGTAACCTCCAAAACGCCATTCTTAAGAGGCAAAAGTGACAAAAACATTTGTGCTCCACGTAACAAAAGACGGACACTTAGAACGTAAAAGAGCAGCTGCAGCCACGTGACGGAGCAAACTCCCTGGAGGCGCAGAGGCCGGGATGGGGGGCGGGGCGGGGGGCACCGCCTGCCAGGCCCAGGGCGGGTCTGCGGGGTGTGGCCCCCATCCCGGGAGCTGCCCCAAGGCGTCGATGGGCAGCGGAGTGCACTGCCTGGCTCGCTGGGGCACTGGCAGGGAACCGCCAGGTGCAGTAAGTGAAAGGGCCACCACCAGAAGAACCCTGTGTCCAGACAGCGAAGCCAAGTGTGCTCCTGAAATTTGGGGAGACAGCACCCTGCTCTTCGAGATGTCTAAACCTGTCACCACGAAACCACACGTGTTCCCTGAGTTTTTGCAGCACTGTGTCGACTAAAACGTTTTCAGATAGTAAACAAAAAGCAAAGCTCCTCTAGGCACCACGTGGCCGAGGCTGAAGTCCCATGAACAGTCATCCCCAGAAACCACCAGGGTTCCCGAAGACAAAGGGAGATGTGGGCGGCGCAGCTAGTGGCCCAGCGTCCGACCTGGGAGCACAGGACACAAGTGCCACCCGTTTCCCACTCAGGAGACGCACACAGGACGAGTGACCACCCCCTCTGGCTGTGCGGGGATGGGGTGGCAGGAAGTCACGTCCCAAAGGTCCACTGTAGATGGGCCAACTCAAGGTGACTGCCCCATCCCACAGGTCCTGCAGGCAAGGACACTCTTAGGGCGGAGCTGGTGTGCACTGCGGGCGAAGAGCCCTCAGAGGCCTATGTGGGTTACAAGTAGACAAAGTCACATCAGCTTATACCAAGAAGCCCCAGCGACAGCAGTGATGAAGAGAGTGAAAGAAAGCGGATCCCCTGAGCAGAGGCGACACTCTGAGGTCGGAGGCCAGGCTTACCCAGGATAAGAGTCGGGCCAGGTGGCAGGCTTCGGGAGCCCTGTCCTCACCCTGGCAGCTGGTGCCTTCTCCAAGGGGCTGGGAGGGAGGATAGCTGGGCGCCCCTATGCCCTGCGCTTGCTTCTGCTCAGAGAAAACGTCTGGGCAGGTTGAGTGGGGTCCGCATGCACGTGTGCAGACACCGTCCTGGGGGCCCCGGCCTGGCTGTGTGCCTGGTTCAGAGCCACCCTGTCCTGGCCCAGTGGCTGTGCTCTGCAGGTGCCGCCCACGTGGAGGCAGGCGCCTCAAGCCTGTTGAGGACCGAGCACGCCACCCACCCACACGCCTCGTGCTACGCGAGCCAAAGCCTCGACGTCACGAGCAGCTGGCCTGCACTATGGCCTGGCACTGCCTGTGTCCTGCAGCTCCCGCCCTTGGTGAAGTCGCGGTGGCCGAGCACCGTGGTCCGCTTGTTGACATGACCAGACGGGGCCGGGGGCACTGACCTCGGAGGGGGCGGGGGTGCTGGCGTCGAAACCGTCGCAGACAAGCATGGACAGGGAGTCCCCTGCGCCGCGCAGCAGCTGCACGGCCTCGCCGTGCGTGAGGCCGAGCAGGCTCTGCTGGTTCACCTCCAGCAGCCGCAGCCCCACCCGCAGGCGGCCGTCACGCCCGGCTGCTCCTGCAGGGCTCACCTGCAGGGACACCAGGTGGGACCTCAGGACGGGCCAGCCCTTGGCCACCCCAACCCCTCGGTACCCCCAACCCCACGGGCCAGGCCCTCACCTTGGAAATAAAGATGCCTTCGTCGGTGGGGTCACAGGGGTTCCCCGCGTGGCCCTTGGCGCCCCCTCGAATGCTGATGCCCAGCTTCTCCCCGGGGGCCTTCTGGATACAAAGCTCCCGCATGCCTGGGGGTGGCGGGTCCCTCCGCACCAGCAGGACCAACTCTAGGCAGGGACGGAGCAGGGCACTGACCGCCTCCTGGTGTGTGGCCTCTCGCACGTCCTGGCCGTTCACTGCGAGGATGCGGTCCCCGACCCGAAGGCCACTGCGGGCAGCCAGGCCCCGCGGGAGCACCTGTAGGGGAAGGCGGGATCTGGTGGGGCCAGCACCCAACGCCTGGCCAGGCCCTTGTTGCACAGGGTTGTCCGTGGACCCACCCTACCTTGGAGATGAACACACCAGGCTCCTGGACTCCAAATGGGTGGCTGGAGTGATCAGAGCCCCCAACGATGCTGAGTCCCAGGGGGCCCCCGGCTCTTGGCAGGCAGATCTCCTGGGGACAGAAGGGTATGAGGGATTGGAACGAGCCTGTCGGGGCAGCAAAGGGCACCTGAAGTCCTAAGAGCTACGGCCAGGTCGTCAGGAATAGGGCGTCCTGTGGCCCCCACAGGGAGGCAGTGCTGCGGGTGTGGGGATCCACAGCGGGTGGGAGCTACGCCAGGAGTAAAGCCACGGAGTCCTGGGGCTACAGTACCGTATCTGCCTTCGCACCCGGGCGCCAGTGCCCCAAAGCTGGAGCTGTGTGGACATGGGGTGGGGGACGGTGGGGAGAAGACGGGTCTCACCTCCACAGGGTACGGGCCCTCCAGGGCAGCGGCCAGCAGGCTGGGAGCTAGCCTCAGCGGCCCAGGGTCCCCAGGGCTGGCTGTGACCATGGGTGTGATGGCAGCAGAAGGAGGTGGGGGCGAACGTGGCGGAGGGCTGGGGGAAAGGGGGCCCCCAGCCTCCCGCTCCAGCAGCAGGGCGATGGTGGGGGCGGCAGCTGTCAGCAGGGACACAGCGTGGTCGTGCCTGGCCTCGGTCACATCCACCCCGTTGATCTGCAAGAGTCAGCTGGTCAGGGGCCCTGTGGGGCGGCCACGGTGGAAGGAGTGCCGGTCAGGAGCCCCAGTACACTCACCGACAGGACACGGTCGCCGACCTGCAGAGTGCCTGCCCGGTGGGCAGCGCCACCCTCGGCAATGCGGGAGATGAAGATGCCCTGTGGGGGGAAGAGCCGTGCAGGGGACCGGCCTGCGGGCTGCCCCGGCCCTGTCCCGCTACCCTGCTCGCCCGTCGTCGGCCTGCTCACCCCGTCGCCAGCCCGGTAGGGCGTGGAGCCCTTCCCTCCAGCGATGCTGAAGCCCAGCCCCTTCTCACTGCGCACTAGGCAGGCCACGTGGCGCTGTCGGAGGGGCCCCGGGGACTCAGGCTGGGGCAGGGGCAGTCGCAGGCCCCCAAACCGCCGCTCCCGGGGGCTGTAGTCGTCCTCAGGTCGCAGGGGCGTGACGGTGACCGCGTTCTCGGGCTCCACCATGCGCTCCCGCCACAGCCGCATCTGCACAGAGGTGCCCGCCCCCCGCAGCGCCTCCACGGCCTGGTGGTGCTCGGCGTTTTGCAAGGCCACGCCGTTCACCTATGGACCGCAGCCCTCATCAGAGCGGGCAACGGCCACGCAGGCTCCACACACACTCCTCCACAGATGAGGAGAACGGGGAACGGCCACTGCCCCTGGTGGGCCCCACTCCCATCTGCAACCCCAGGGCTAGGACACAAGTTGGCTGAAGGAAGCAGGCAAATGCTCCTCCTGCTGGTCTACGCTCGTGCCCCCCACCCTGGAGACGCCCTGCCACCTGCCCATCAACTGAGCAGGCCCACGACCTAGGGCACCTGGGGTTACTAGGCTTCTGACCCCGTCTTCAGAGGCTCTCCCCTCTCAGCCCTCCCGGTGATCTGGGACAGCATCGACACCACCTGGACAGACTGCGGACACACTTGCCAGGACTGGGTGGCCAGGTGCCCAGGCAGGGGCTCCAGGGCACGAATCACCCCCAACCTAGACCTGGGGGTGCTCTGGCCACCTCCCCACCAGCTGCCAGGGGCAGCACCCCCTTGAGAGGCCTGTGCTCGGGGTACAGCCAGTGCTCCGCGTGGGGGTCAGCAGGGGGCCCTCTGAACCCCTGGCTCACTGGCTCACCTCGCCTGGGGTCCCGTGCACAGGGCACCCCATCTCCTGTGGGAGCGGAAACCAACTACCCGGCAGCAGGGGCTGTGTGGACCCCGAAGGCACAGTGGCCCACCCGCTCAGGGTCTGGGGGTCGCCGACTCACCTCGAGGAGTTTGTCGCCCACTCGGACTCCAGCCCGGGCCGCAGGGCCTTCCTCAGACACCCGAGAGATGAATATGCCCTAGAGAATGAGCAGGAGCTGAGCCCCCAGGTGTCGGCACAGCCTGGGAGGGCCTCTAAGGCCCAGCAGCCCCGGGGCCCAGCGAGTGCAGAGGAGCTGCGGGCTTGTGGCACTCAGGCTGGGCTCGAACGGCTGCGGCCCCACGTGCCACGAAGCTGGAGGGTGATCAGCCTCCAAAGACGACTTCGACCCAAACCCGCACAAAGGTATCCGGCCTGCACGTAGGGCTGCCTTTTGCGGCGCCCGGAAATTAAGCTCTCTCTAGAATCTGAACGCAGCCTCGTGTCAGCAGTCAGCGCTTGGGGAGCGCAGACCCAGTGGCTGAGAAAGAGCAAGTCCCCTGAGAGCGGGAACCAGGGGGCTGAGAACAACATATGGAAGAAAGCAAGCCGTGAGGTGTGAAGGTGCCCCCGACTGCCCCGCGTACCAAGAAAAGCCGAACGAGAAATGGCAGAGGTGCTAGGACAGACCAAACAGGGACAGTGGGACAAAAAGAGTGGCCGGTGGGCGCAGCTGCTCACCTCGTCATCCCCCTTGTAGGGGGTGGAGCCCTTGCCGCCCGCGATGCTGATGCCCAGGCCCCCAGTCTGCCGCACGATAGTAAGCGTCAGCTGGAAACAGAGCAGACACACGCGTCCGGGGAGGGCCGTGAGAGGAGGGCTGCCCATGGGCCCAGCAGGAGACAGGGAGGGTCCAGTCCTCTCCAGTAACACTTGTGCCAGGGCCGGCCTGAGCATGACGGAAGAGCCAGAGGAGGCAGGCACCGCTGGGCAGAGAGCAGCCCAGGAGGGGTGCCTGCCGGTGGGTGACAAGACCCCGCGGACTGGGAGGGGCAGTGGGAAACGCTAAAGCACCTCTGCTGGGACTGGCCGCCCCGCCTAGAGGCCAGTGCTCTGCCTGCCCGTCTGCACTTGAGGGTCAGGAGGCCCCTTGGGCCATGGTGGCCCAGGGCTCCCAGCTGCAAGGCGGCAGGTAGGAGCTCTTGCAGGAGGGCTGCACAGGAGCGAGGGGGAAGGCGACACGAGAGGCCGCAGCCCGGGAAGCAAGGCTGGTGGCAGCCAGGGGTGCAGAGCTCAGAGCAGCGAGAGTACAGACCTCTTCCTCCTCGATGCGAGCAGGCTCTATCAGCAGGTTATTGGCCTGGTCAAACGACACCCCCTGTTAGGACAGGACCAGCGGGGCATGCAGGTGAGCCGCCACCTTGCCCGACCCCGCCACCATCTCACCCAGCCCCGCCGCCAGCAGGAAGGAGACAGAATGCCACACCAAGCTCCCGCAGCCTGAGCGCCAGCCCCTCGTCCCTTCTGGTCTGGGAATGTGTGGCTGCTGCTGCCACTGCCCCACCTAACAGGGCAGGCTCGGCCAGTCAGGGGTGGGCCCCACGGCAGACTAGGCCTTGGCCTGGCTGTCCCGGATCTGACGGCCCAGGTACCCTCAGCTGTCCAAGCATCGTGCCCGTGCTCAGGACAGAACCACTGAAGGGTCGGAGACACAAAGGTGCCGGGGGGGCGGGGCACAGGGAATGCCTATGGAGCAGACAAGACCCCAGGGGGGCCCATGAGAGTCACCTGAGGACCAGAGGAAAGACACCGGGAAAGCCCAGCCCCGAGGAGGGCCTGAAAAGGCAGAAGAGCCTGGGCAGCAAGAGGGCAGCTGCCAGACCCCCAAGATGGGGCTGCAAAGCCAGCGGGAGCCTCTGGGCCCAGCCCAGGGAGGGTGGTGGAGTCAGCTGCCCTTGTGAACGGGCCCCGTCATCGCCGGCCAGCGTTAAGACACAGGCCCAGAGCTGCCAGGAGCGTCCCCGAGATTCGAGACCAGCGCCAGTGCACACCCGGGGGCGTGATGAGCGACCGTGACGATGCCATCGGAAGCCGGTAGCTTGGGCCAGGTGAGCGCACGGCTGAGACCCACCTTAACGGAGGGCGCAGAGGCCACGGCTGCCTCCTCCTCATCCTCCTCTGCCACGGTCTCCTCCGCGTCCTCCACATCCTCCTCGTCCTCGTCCTCGGCCCGGGGAGCCCAGGGCGTGTGTGGGCCATTGTGCCAGCCCCCAGGCCCCACTGAGCCCTGGCTGTCTGGCTGTGTCCCCTGCAGCAGGGCTACCACGGCCTCAGGTTGTGGCAGCTTGGAGACCTTGAAGTGCTTCTTATAGTGAGGCGTGTCCTTGCGGATGAGCCGCTGCCTCCCCGCAGGCAGGGCCCAGGGGGCCTCCGGCGGCCCCTCCTCATTCTCGCCATCCTCCCCCAGAGGCAGGAGCAGCGTGTCCTCTGCAAATCGTACTGTGGGCTGAAAGGGCCTGAGTGTGAGGACAGCGGCCTGGCCCACCTTGCCCCCACCGTACCCTCAGGAGACCAGGCTCTTCTCCTCAAAGAACAAAAATGGAGAACTGTCTGAAGAAGAGGAATATAAGAGCTCAGCTCCGACAAGGCCGGGGGCCAGGGAGCTCTTCCCACCCCATGCCCGCTGCTTGGAGCAGCCCAATGCTGGTGAGTGGTATCAGGGCCAAGAGAGGGGCCCAGGGGACAATCTGCAGTGGCTGTGCAGCGGTGGCGCACGTGGGAAGGCAGCGACCATGCAGAGCCTGGCCCTGGGGCGAGATCCTCACCACCCGCTCCAGTCCTGCCCAGGGCCCCGCTGAGTGCGACAGGGAGGTGGCCCACGCGCACCCTGACGGGTCCTGACCGCGTGCGTGCTTGGAAGGAGAGGGAAGGACCGGGATGAGTAGCCCCCACTTTCTGGAAGGCAACCTCCAAGGCCAGCCTCACCTCTTCATAGCTCTCCTCTGCATCCTCGTCCTGGGCGGCCGGCGCAGCTTCCTGCTGGCTCAGCCCCTCCACCTCGGCCAGCAGCCCCTCGGGCTCACCCTGGGAGGTGGTGCCAGCGGACAGGTGTGAGTCCTCGCTCAGGGCCGACTCCACGCTCAGCCTCTTCTCCTGCGGCGGGGTGAAGCAGAAGATCAGGCCACCCGCCTGCCTGTCCCTGGGTTGCTGCTGGCCCAGCCGCAGCAGCCCCTCCCACCCACCCAGGCCCTGCAGAAAGGGGTGGGGTCTGCGCTCGGCTCTCAGCCACTGTCCCATACCACGCAGAGATACAGGTCTTTGGCACGAGCCCTAAAATGTCTTTCCAAAAAAAGTCATAAAAACAGACAGAAGTAGCTCCCCAACTACCAGCCTAAAAAGGTCAGGAACCCTCCTGAGACCACAGCCCTTCAGATGGACCACGCACTGCAGACACAGGCCCTACCACATGTGTCCCCAGGTGACATGGATGCCCTGCTGCACCCCGGGGGCCCTGAAGGTTCCCCCAGCCCTGTTGGTAGAAGCTTCTTTCTCAACAAGTGGAGTTAGGCCTGCCCACCTCTATCCTCAGCCACCTTCACCGAAGGTACGCGGACACCCGACGGAAAAGCCCAGCCATGGACCAGGTCCCTGTTCCCTATGCCAGCAAGGGCACAGCGGCCTCTGGGTCCTCCCATGCCCCCGCATCTGCCGCAGAACACAGTGAGCTAGCTGGCTGGCCCTGTGCCTCCCCGTCCCACACCCAAGACAGACGAGATGTCGGGGCTCCTGAGATGAAAAAGATAGGGGCTGGGCCCCGCCGGCACCCACATGCCCCCATAAGCACCTCCTCCAAGGGCGAGGGAGGCTGGGGGTCAGGCCTGCAGGAGGCCTCGCTCCGCCGCTCTGCCATGCCTCTCTTCATCACCCTGAGCTCGCTGGGGTGAGGTGTGGCCCGGCGCTGCAGACCCTGCAGTGGGCACAGGGTGAGGGACGGGCAGGGTGGGGGTCAGGTGGGTGCGGGGTGGAGGCAACCCGCCCAGGGACCCCACCCCCCCATACCCGCTTCTCTGCAGCGGCCTCCTCGGCATCCTCGTCGCCCAGGGGAGCCCCCAGGAACTTGATGACGCTAACTCGGCTGAGCGGGGCATCGCTCCAGCTCTCGGTAGGGCTGCTTTGCTGCCCCACGTCCTCTGAGAAAGGAAGCAGAGACCAGAAACCCATCAGGGGCCCTGAACTTGCCCGAGGCCACGCCCACCCCTGGCCACGCCCGGCAGCTGACAGCAACCTACCGAGGCTGGGTGGGGGCTGCTGGGGCAGCAGGTAGCAGGTGAGCACCTTCTCGCCCGTCTGGGCGTCATCCTCAGTCTGGAAGCGGAGCATGGGCTGCGCCTGGTTCTCAGCCAGCCACAGGGCCTTGAGGTTGAGGTGGGTGAGTGCAAACGGCAGACTCTGCAGCCTGGGGGCCAGGCGGGCATGGTCAGCTCAGTGGGGCCGCTGGCACGTTGGCACAAGGGCTAGGGCAGGGCGGCGGGCACTCACCGGTTGCCGGCCACATCCAGCACGTGCAGCTCAGCTGTGTGGGCAAGCTCGGGCGGCAGAATGGCCAGGCGGTTGTCCCGCAAGGAGAGGACACTGAGCGCTGTGCAGCCCCCGATCTCAGGCGGCAGCATCTCCAGGCGGTTCCGGTCCACATTGAGGTTGGTCAGCTTGGCCAGCCTCCCCAGGGAGCGGGGCAGGGCCTGCACAGGGGAGGGAGAGAGGGAGGAAGGGTCAGAAGCCGGTAAGAGCTGGCTGAAAGAATGGGGGAGGAAGGGAACAGCCCCTCGGGCAATCTCTCTCTTCTCTACTGGCCCCTCCTCCCCATTTCATGGGCCTGCCACCCCAGCGAATGTCCAGCTCCCAAAAGGATGGCGTCCACCCTTGTTCTGCACGCTCTATAGCCCCCCTCAGCCCCATGCTGACTCTGAACCGACCCCCAGGGCTGGGCCCACCCA